CTTTAATCAAAGTTCATCGTTTTCATAGATTAGATCTTTACTGTCAACGCTATTAAAACCAAGGAAGGACAGTTGAGCTGCTCGTGTTGCAGCAAAGAAAAAAACATGGACAGAGCGTCGGGCCGCGCGTCGGGCCGCGCGCCATGTTGATTCATCTGCAGGTCAGAGGGCGACGAGCGAGCAGAAAAGTGATCGACTAAAGGAAGAATGGTGAAAAGGATTCAGAGAATAAAGAGCATGAAGGATAGATACGAGAATGAAAAGGAAAAGTTATCCTTTTAGAGATGAATTCACACAAAAACATTCAAATGTAAATATTCTAAAATGAGGGATGCGTCGATGAATCTGTTAAATGTCGGAATCAGCCGATATCGTTGACGGACATCGTGCCATCGGTCGATAATGTGGCATGAAGTGATGTCGCTTCCGATGTGTATATATACTTTTTTTGCTTATCAGAGGTCGGGTCGCGTCGGCAGCAGGCGCAGTAAGTCATTCTGCGTTTTCCAGCTCCTCCTCCTTGGGGGGCGTGTCCGTTAAAAAACCTCCAAAGTGAGGCGTCCAGGAGTCGTGATGATGTGTCGTATCAGTTTAATGCCGACATCTAGAACGCCTTCAGGCTCAGAAAGTAGCTGAGGAAACTTGAGAGGAAACGTCGGCGCCGTGGGAATCTTACAGCGAACAAAAGTCACGAAACAAGCGGAGCGTCTCTGAGTTAAAGTGTTTCAAAGAATCCGAAACTGAAAAACACTAAAATGTGAATTTAGAAATCAAAATGGAGAGAATATAAATGACGACATGAAGACTATAGAGTCTAAAATCTACGAGCTTAGCAGGAGCAGTTTTGTGGATTTGAGCCAGGCTAACGTTTTCCACCTGTTTCTAGTCTTTATGCTAAGCTAAGCTAACTAGCTTCTGGCTGTAGCTTCAGATTTACTGCACACACACACACATACATGCAACTGTTCTCATCATGACTCAGAAAAGAGAAGACAAACTGTTTCTAATATCGTCTTCAAGAAACTAGAATTTAGATTTAATACGATTCTGATAAAAGCTGAAATAGCGATACCTGTTTCTTTATCGTGGCAGCAAAAGTAAAAGTCTTTGGCACCCGATATTTGAATCATTTCTTATTTTTAAATCAACAAAAGATGCAGACACACTCCTGCACTCGGTCCAAATTTGCATAAAAATCACTGACCATGTTTGTGTACCAACGTGTTTCTGATGTTTCAGTGCAGGTTAGTCTCGTCTCCTGCTCACCTGTCTAATGAACACGATGTAGCTTTGGTACTTTTTGATACTATCAGAGATTATAAAACGTGTGGTATGGAAAAGATGTTTTAGTATCGACAGCGTTCGGTTGCTGCAGCTGAGAGAAAACCGAGTGACACACCGCTCTGTGAATCGACGTCCAGCTGACGCATACCATCAGATGACTTTGAGTAAAGATGGCGTCAGGTGAGCTGATCCCTGAAGGACACCTGAGTGTACATAAAGCTTCCTGTTTTACAAAATACATCCTTCTAGATGTTTGTTTTTTTCTGAATCAGGAGAATCTAAGAGTTGTTTTTTTGAAAATATTCTGCTTGCTTTGATTTTGATTTGTGAAGTGTTAATGTGGCTAAAAAACGTTTGGACAAATACTAAAAAAAATAACGTGTGAGAGACTTTAAATTGAAGTTATTTGAGATTCTGTTGGATGGATAAATATATTCTGTGTGTGTGTGTGATCTCCTCTGCACGTCGTAGTGAAGCGTCTGAATCAGTTTATCTGTGTCTAGATTTCTAAACTGTTTTTTTCCCTCCTGCACGTTAAAGAAGCTCACGACGGCTTTGTGTCTCGTCTCTTCACATGTAAAAAAAAAATAAAAGGATGACATTTATCACTGCAAATGAGGTCACGCTGCGTTTTCTTTTTTTTTTTTTGCGTCTGCGTGTTTGGAGAGGGTGCGCCTGTTTGTTGAGGTGTAATTACAAGGCAGCAAACAAGTATTTCCTCATTTCCTGCGCAGTCACTCCTCTAAACATTACATAAATACTACACTGTAAACATGAGGAAAGGGGGGGGGGGGGCTGTAACTTTGCTGTACCACAACAGTTTATGCATTATATGGCAGAAGTAATAAAATCAGAACGGGACAAGAAAAGGTCTACTCTCTTTATTTTATAGAAAACTTTGTTGTCACTGCAGAGAGGTGGAAGGTGGAAGGAGGTAAAGACACACAAACAGAGAACAACAGGTTAGAAAAGACAAATATTCACAAAGAAATCTGCTGAGAAATGTTAAATGAAATATAATAAAAACAAGAGAGAGTCCTGTTGAACATCCTGGATTCAGAAATATACCAACTGCAGAAGGCTTAAGATAAGCAGAAAATGATGAAGATGTTGCAGAAAAGCTTGATGCTGAAACTGAGGACATAACTGAAAACGATAAAGATGGCGCTGGAAAAGATGGAGATGTTGCTGAACATGATGAAGTTGTTTCTGAAAATGGCGCTGGACAAACTACAAAGTGATGTAAAGGAAAAAAAAAAGTACGAAAATGTTGCCGAAGATGATGCTGGAAACGATGATTGCGATGATGATGTTGCTGAAAATGGCGCTGGAAGCACTACAAAGAAGTGCTGGAAATGAGGATGTTGCTGAAAATCCTTTAAAGTTTTTGCTGAAGGAGATGACGGTGTTGCTTAAAATCTTCAATTTGATGCTGAAATCGAGGAGTTTGAGATAATGAACTGGATCCTAAAGTATTTATAATAAGAAAAAAAAACAGTATTACCAAAGGCTGATCCATGGGGAGTGTCCGAAGAGGATCAGATTTTAATACCAGATTTGAATGAAATGATGTCATTATGATTTGTGAATATCCACAATCTACATCTACATCTTAAATATTCCTAACGCTGCAGATGGATCGTACACTCAGTAAAAGAAGCGATGTTAAAGTAGCAGGTTATTCCCCACATGCCTTCCTCTACCCTCAAACACACTCTCCCTCTCTCTCTGCAGGATAGAAAGCCTCTGTGTGGAAGCCTTATGTAAGCGTCTGCAGTCCACACAGTTTGCTGCTGTCTAAAGAGAAACACGCTGAAGGTCAGGAAAACAAAACCGTCTAAAACCAACAGCTCAGAAATACTCGGAAAGGAGCGAGCTGAAGTTTCTGCTCGTGTTAGGAAACATGAACTGAACTATTCCAGGAAATATGTTCATCAATAAAAAACCACAGCTTAACTTAAAGACTGGAAACGAGGGAAGCAGTGAGAATGTTTCTGCAGAAAGGTAGAAAACTCCTTGAATAAATCATAGATTGTAAATATTAAAGGATGAAGATACACATCTGTTCCTGCAGGGGGCTCTGGAGGCTCATCAGCAGCAGCCGCCATGTTGGAAATCCTGTCTCAGTCTAACTTTCAGTCAACATAACGACAGGCTGAGAGCTGGAGCAGGTTTTAAACCTCTTGAAGAACTGTTAGATTGCGCCCACCTGTCAATCATGTCAGCTAAGCGCCTAACTATCGATAACACGTATCGTTCTTAAATAAAAGCAGATGCGTTATAAATTAAATTAACCCCCCGTACAGTGTGTGCTTATGAGGACAATAACTTATCAGGCCTATTTCATTTTTTAACCAGGTTGTAAACATGTTTATCTCTGCTGTAAAATGTCACATTTTTAAATGAGTGTGTATGTGACTTCCTGTGCTTCACAAGAAATGTTACATTTTGATATTCTACAATTCATTTAGCAGACTCTTTTATCCAAAGCGACGTACATCAGAGAGTAAGAACAACACAAGCAAGGATCTAGAAAAAAGAACAATGTGAGTAAGAGCAAACGATCAGCTTTGAGTCTGATTGGACACACAGGTGCTGACAGGAAGTGACCAGAGGCAAAGCACAACATTGAGGGCAGTTCTTGAGAGCTCTAATCAGTATAGAAACCATCTTATAAGTCGTCGTTATCAAACAAAAACCATCGTCATTACCATCATCATCATCAATAATATGGAGACCATCATCATTAAGTTAGTAGGTATTCATGAAAGAGCTGGGTCTTTAGCTTTTTCTTAAAGGTGCAGAGGGGCTCTGCAGATCACATGGAGTTTGGAAGTTCATTCCACCACCGGGGGGATATGATACGATCAGGATACGATACACTTTATTGTCCAGGACTCAGGAGCTGCACGCTTTTAGCTGCCTCATGACCGTTACACCAGTGGTTCCCAACTGCTGGGTCGGAGCCCAAAAGTCGGTCAGAGTGCTGTTGTTAGGGGGGTCGTGAATGTGTGCCTGTGTCAAAAAGTCTATGAAGCACTTTTGTTTTGTTCCATCTATTTGTTCTATCGCGTTTGAGGTCAAAGCTGCACTTTCCTTTATTGAACAATTCTCATTGGTTGAAAAATATCAACAATTTGGGTCATCTCAAAGAAAAAAAAAATCTAACATTTCGACTTCAATCTTGTAAATTTACGAGTTTGAGACCAGCCTGCGCAAAAACGATGAAAGAAGAACCTCTGCCACTAAAGACACAATTTCCTCCCAGTCAGTGTCCTTCTTTCTTCGGGTAAAGCTCCAGTTTCTTGCAATATCTAATCTCTAAACTCAAAATTTTATATTATTATTTTTTTTTTGTAACTTGGCCCCTAATCCTCCGTCGTAAAAAACACTTCCTTTCACCATCCCGTAGGTTTCCACTCAGGTGAAACATTTCCCAGACCTGGGATATGAGTGTTGAACTGCACCTTCTCATTCTTTACATACCAGACTAAAAGAAAAACAATTAGACAAGGCGTGACATTATGCTCTTTAATGATTGACAAACATGTAACAGTACACACTTTAAGGAGATTATTAACAGTTTACAATGGACAATTACAATTACAATTACAAGGACATTTGAAAAGTCAGAAAGTATACCAGGCTGTTGTACCATAGCAGCACTTTTCACATTGCCACTAATATTCCCTTTCACCACACATGGATGCACTTTGTTGATCCTCTTTGCAGAGACATGTCCTCTAAAGAAAGCTGTGTTGTACAGAGCGATGTTATACTCTGTACTTATGCACCATTAGATACTTCAAAACGACTGTAGCTGAACTACAGAGAACCGGAGTCTGTAAACAAAAAAATTCACACAGGAGAAGGATCTCTTCCTGCGGGAAATAAAACATACTTCAAAAGTTACTGTAGGTGAACTACAGAGGGCCGGAGTCTGGATAAACCGTGGTTAACAAACATACAGACGGACACACTAATGTTTCTACAACATTTAAACAACACACAAACAGCGATGTCATCGACAGGGATAAAAAAAACTCACAAAGTACCCCCAGGATGTATTTTTGTAGACTCTGTGGTTTTTAGTGCTTGTGTTTTCTACAATGCCATGTGCTCGCCCATCCCTAAAGAGCAGGTTTGAAGTCTGCAGAATAAAAAATAATAATAAGTAAGAGTCCCTGCCCACAATCCCCATTCCACACAGTCTGTGGTTTGGTGTGGGAGGTTTGTTCGTGGAGTAAAAATATCTTTCGGCTCAGATGTTCGTTTTTCAAGAAAACCCCAGGCTCTTTTCAGCGTAACATCTGCAGCAGAGTTATTCCAGGACAGCACTAATGGAAACGATGGAGATATTAGATGTAACGAGGGTGACTTTGGAAGTCTTTGATCCTCTTTTGCTCACTGTACTGTATGTACAACATTTGCCACAAAAAAACAAACATCTTTTGCTCATTACAATAAAGTTTTGGTAGTTTCATAAGTCATATAACTGCTGGAGAGAAAAGTACTTTCACTTTGTTCTTGCTCCATAAGTGCTTACAGAAAAAAAAACACACCACTGAGTAAAATGCCCGAAGTCGGTAAACAAACCGGTGAAACAATAAAAGATTCCCATGTGATGGGATGTAGAAAGACTTCACAGCCTGTGTTTGAACATGAATTTCACCTTCTGACAGCTGCTAGAAGAAAAGTGACACAGTAAACATAAAAATACATTGTAAACTTGATACAAAAATAATAGGTTTGCACATCTTGTCTGAGTTTTCTTCTGATCCGTTTTGCCCTCCTGATACTGTATGATTGATCCCTTAATTGGATTTTATCTAAATTCTTCTCCAAGTTTTGTATAAATGCAATCAAAGGTATCTTAATTGCGGATATATATTTCCAATAAACTTTGACAACAGGGCTGGATCAGCCTGTTAAGGGGGCCCTGGGGCCAAACTGTGCTTTGGGCCCCCACAAACCCCCCCGGTGTTGATCCAGTAGCCATATATTTCCTTTGATACATTTCAAGGAGCCTGTAAAATTCCTATTTTTAAATTACGTTGTGAGTATCTTAAGCACAAATTTATATATTTTTTAAAAAGGGCCACAAGATAAAATCTCAAAATTAAATTTAATTTAAGGAGCCTCCTCGGGGCATTTTCAAAACGATTTCTATTGTGCTTTGGTGTAGAACCAGACAAATGTGCAATAAATAAAATAAACAACAAATTAACTGTATATATATATATATATTAATATATACATGTTTTAAGGCCCTGGTGGTTCTTTGGTGCAAGTAAAGCTGCCCATTTCTTCAACCTAAATTATGACGTAAAAACAGAATCCAAAAATCCATCTAAAAATCGGTGAAATCTCTAACTTTGGCACTCTTTCCAAATGATATCCAAAGTCAAAGCTCATCTTAGTTCCATTGTCGTGTAGTGTACTTTTACTCAATGACAACATAAAAGGATCCCAATGAAGGGAACACTTTGTAGAATTATAAATGTGTCTGCTCAAATTAGTCCCCAATAAATGCACTTGAGTAACGTTTGATCAAAACTACAGCTCCTCTCTATGCTGCAGACAGTGCATGATTGTCCAAAAGTTTTGTAAGGTGAATGTCTTCTCATTAGATTTGTTGACAATAAAAAAAAAAACTTCAACCCTTTTCCTTGAGATGTTAACAAAAAGTAGTGTTCAGTTTAAAAAGTCTCACTATAAACAATCAAGGTGAGACCACATGTAACGTGGCTCCCAAAGTACCAAATATGAAGCTCCTCTTAACAGTGTTAGTTCCGTTCTATACATCTTCACAGAGGTATAAAGTGTCTTGGATTGTAAGCAACACAAAGCAGGTAATCTACTTTTTCCTCCAAAACAGTGTCGATGTGTCCGACTTGTTTGTCCGTTTTTTTTAATGTCCAGGAAGAGAAAACTGGCTGTGCAAGTCCATTCCTCTGTAAAAGTAGTTCTCTGACACAGTCCACACAGTCAGGCATAAATAAAGAAACGTCTAGTATACCACCTCCACCAGCAGGTACACATTCAGGCTCAACAAATCGAGACTGAAAAATAAATTCCCAGAGATTCTCATGAGTCTTTCAGTAGTCCCAGTTTCCTCAATGCATCCCTCCGCGATTCATCCGTGGCCCCCTTTCCAGAAAACTTCACAGTGATGCTTTGGGGTCGAAACATAGAGCTGGATCTCCGCTTTTCGGGCGACACCCCTCTTGGCGCTGCTTTCGGGGTAACAGCGCCGTGGTAGGAGTTCCGAGGAGGTTTTGGGGCTGGGGTCGGGGCAGGAGCTTTGAAACTCCTTGCTGGGCTGACCGAAGGGCGGTTGATCCCCGTGGACGGGTTGATGACTCGACTCTTCCCTCCATAACTGTTGAGCTCAGTCGGCTCTACTTTGGCCGGCAAGCTTTGACTCTTGTTGATGTGGGAGCTGAGGATGTCGGGAAGGTCGCTCCGGGTCATGGCTACGGGATTCATGACTTTAGTCTTCCCGCCGTAGTCGTTGAACTCGGAGGGATGAGCCAGTGCAGGCGGGAGGGTTTTGGGTTCAGGACTGGTTGACGAGATCGCAGTGGGTTCACTCCTGGAGGACACAGAGGGTTTGATCACGATAGACTTCCCACCATATCTGTTAAACTCTGGTGAAGTTATGGCTATCTCCGGGGAACTAGGCTCCTTGATTTCCAAAGGAGGTGGATAGTAGTTGCTTTCTATCGCTGGTGGAGGTGAGGGGAACCGTTCATTGCTCCCTACAGAATCTGTCCGCAAAATCTCTGGTTTCCTGTCAGCGTGAATCTGGCTGTGATGTGATGTTGACACATAGGCTTCTGGCAATTTGTGACTGGATTCCATTGTTTGGGGTACGCTGGCCTCCACAGGTTTGGCACTTGCGTCTACTACATCTGTGGGAGAATGTAGGGAGGCGCTGTCAGGGTTGACAAGGAGCGACATACCCCCAGACATGGCTCTGTTTCTATTCAGGCCCAGCTTAGACAGGGCCTCCAACCGGGATTTGTCCGGTTCGGGGTCCTTGAAGGAAATGCTGCGCGAAGGGGTATTTCTAGCCTTCGGCTCTAATGCATGCTGGGTATCTTCCGGCAACAGAGGGTGTGCGGTTCCTGTTAGATTCGCTAGCATCTGTGCCCGTCTCTCGTTGATGCTGACATTAGGTAGTGACTGGCTCTGGTGCTCCTTGCTCCCATGAACCAGATTGATGTTAGCAGGAAAGCGGGAAGGCTTTGTAGAGGTAGGAGGACCCTGTCTGACAGCGGGATCAATGATGTTGCTCGCTGGTTTTTCCAACTCTAAGCTGCAACGTCGGAGGAGCGAGGACGGGCTTATGTTTGCGTTTCCTCCCGCTTGGTTCTCTGCAATCTTCTGGGCAATCAGAACCGGGGTGGGGACAGAGCCTGGAGGGTGGTAGGACGAGTGGTCTGTCGACCCATAGCTGCCGCTGGGTAAGGGAGGGTTGTACTCTGATGGCAAGCTGTCCATTGGATCACGCCTTGGCTTTATCTCGAAGTGGCTTTCGGGGGCCTGCACCATACTATGGAAATCTGTAAGGAACAAAATGCAGGTTAAAACTGTGCAAAAGACAACAGGAATTGTTTCTTTCTGCAACTGTAGTTTCAGACATTTTCTCCAAAAAAACAGCCAAATGGACACAAAGAAATGTATTTGTCTATAAGCGGATCTCTAATTCATAAACCATACCATACCAAGAAATCTGTCTATGGCCCGCAAGAACAAGAACCAACGTCTGTACTCTACCTGGATTAGTAGGACTGAAGATTGGCTCTCTGGTCTGCAGCAAGTCTGGATCGGAACGAACTAGGTCGATTATATCGTGGTCTTTGTGGCTGGGGGGTCTGGCCAGGAGGGTGGACACCATTGGACTTGGGACTGGGGGTTCATCAACCAAAGGGGGCTTTAACTGCCTTTGCCTCCTTGCATCGTTATCCTCCAGACCATCCTCTAAGGAGTCGATGGTCTTCTCGAAGAATTTGAGGCACTCCTGCTCCTCCCGGCTCAGAAACTGCAGCGTGTCATCCTCCTGTCAAGGCAAAATGGAAGGTTTCATGAGTATAAACTTTCCCCAAAAGTAGTCGCTGCCACCACTTCAATAGAGGCTCGTTCCTCCTCTTCACTAAACTCCATGCAGGGTGAACACAGGACTGTTTGTCCCTGAATCCCAACCCTCTGATAGCTCCAATGCCCCTCCCCCTTCACCTCTTCCCATCTGTGTTTTACCTCTATGGCTACCTGTCCTGCTTCAAACAGTGCTGCCACTGATGAATAACACAATAGACAGTTCAGTAACAGCTCTTTTTTATTTTTTTCACCTTCAGGCCTTTTTCAGCCCTGATAATGATCGGGTCCACCCACATGGCCTTAGAAAACAGGTAATCCCCTGTAACAATGTGTCTTCTTTGCATTATTGTTCTCAGTCTTTACATACAAAAGCCGTTCAGCAGAATAATCTCACAACCTCCACTTTATATATTTTGTTTTTAACTTTGTGTCAGTGTATGGATTTGCAAACAAGATGGAAAAAAATGTTAAAAAATTAGCTTAAGATGACTTTCCATCACTTCCTGTTTTTATGCTAAGCTAAGCTAAGCTAACAATGCTCAGGCTCAAGAGTGAAAAATGTTCATTTAAAGATTCCCAGCTTTGGGTTAGATAACAAATCAACTCAAAGATGATTGGTTGACACTCCCCTGACAAGTCCAGATACACATCAGATTTTAAGATATGAAAACAAAGCCTGCATTGTTTGTTACGGGGAAACAATCTGCCAACGCAGCAAGAATATTTTACTTGTTAAGTTTCTTGAAATTAGATGAAATAACTAATTTAAATACAGGCATCTTATTTCAAGACCTTCAAGGCAACTGCTTGGGGTCCCCAGGTCAGTAGGGGGGCCCCCAGGGATGATAAACTTTAAAACCACAGCAGTGTCTCAAAATGTGCAAAGTTTGCAATGACAGTAGGATACCTCCCTAAAGGGGGCCCCGTCTGACAGAACTCCATCTCCTTTGAAAACCAAAAAACATTGTGAAAAAAAGTCACCAAAAGACAATGAAGAGGAGTGAAAAAAGAAAGAGAGGAAGAGGAGGAAGCGTCGGGACACTGGCAGACATGATGGTTATGAACGCGGGTTGGAGGGGCCCCCTGATTAATTTTTGTCTCGGGCCCCAACAGACTCTAGAATCGCCGCTGAACACACTCGCTTAGATTTGAGTCTTTACAGTGTAAGTCGTGTTTTTTCTTTGCTTGTGTGATATTTCCAACAAGCGGACAATGTAGTGTTTTTGATCGCAGACTGTGTTTAAATATAATTACACATCCGAGCAGGAGAAGCTGCTTATTTGAGCCGTTTTCAAGGTGATGACCTTCAGCTCGCGGTTTACAAGGCAAACACGGTTTGTTGCTGACATCAGTGTTGTGACAAAAGTGTCACAACAAGGTTGTCCGGAGCCTCGTTGTGCTTCACGGACACACACACACACACACACACACACACACACACACACACACACACACACACGCACACACAAAGACACCTGCAGAAGCAAAACACCCAACTGAAACCAATCAGAGATGAACACTGATGTGCTGGTTTCTGCTGCTGGGAGTTATGTCTGTTGGAAGACCGCAGCGTAACCGGTTTGGTCGTGTTGCTGTGTGTGTAGATGATGGATGTCATCCCCAAGGCATGCGGAGGGATTAAGTTGTTGAGCAGGTGTCATTTCTCAGCGAGTGTTGATGACTGGGCGCTTTGTGTAAACACAGCGCAGAGCCTCGAGTCAGGGTGAATGTGCTGTGCGAGTTTAAATAATCAGCTGTTCATCTGATACGCTGAGTGTAAGGAGACAAAGGAAACAACCTCGCCATTGACTCCAGTCCACTGAACAGATCTTTATCTCATGACGGAGGTATTGTTCGAACCTGTGTCCTCTGTGTGACACCAGTTTGACCAAGATTTGATTTGCTGTTCAAGATTCAAGATTTTTTCTTAAGGTTTTTATGCTTTGGACAGTGAGTCGCAGAGAGAGAGAGAGAGAGAGAAAGAGAGAGAGAGACTCAGAGAGAGAGAGAGAAGAGAGAGAGAGAGACAGAGAGAGAGAGAGACTCAGAGAGAGAGACAGAGAGAGAGAGACTCAGAGAGAGAGAGAGAGAGACAGAGAGAGAGAGAGAGACTCAGAGAGAGAGAGAGAGAGAGAGAGAGAGAGAGAGAGAGAGAGACTCAGAGAGAGAGAGAGAGAGAGAGAGAGAGAGAGAGAGAGAGACTCAGAGAGAGAGAGAGAGAACAGAGAGAGAGAGAGAGAGACTCAGAGAGAGAGAGAGAGAGAGAGAGAGAGACTCAGAGAGAGAGAGACTCAGAGAGAGAGAGAGAGAGACTCAGAGAGAGAGAGAGAGAGAGACAGAGAGAGAGAGAGAGAGAGAGAGAGGTACGACGGGCGGGAAAAGGAGCTACAGGTCGTATCCGAACCCAGGCCATCCACATCGAAGACTACAGTCTCTGTACATCTGGCATGTGCTCTAACCACTAGGCCATCAGCGTCCTTTAATATTTAGTTTTAAATTGATTTAAATCAGTTGCTGCAGAATTATAAAAAAACATTTCATTTACATCTTCTTTTTAAATAATTGTAGTTTTTCGACAGGTGGACAAAACGAAGCACTGTAACCTCGTCATTTTGGACTCTGGGTTTGATCCCACGCCTTGGAATTGTTAGCTCACTACTTTTTAATTTGTTTTTGTTTTTAAGATATAAACGGGTCCCTCACATTGGAAGTCATTTTAAAGCAACTTCTGGGAATAATCTGACATTTGATACCACACTCATAACGGTAAGCTAAGTATCTAGCCTGGTTAGCCTAGCTTAGCATAAACCCTCGACACATAGGAACACAGTAACCTTTGCATAGCGCTGTCCAAAGGTTACAGTCTGGGTCTTTACTTTTAGACTTCTAACCTCCTCAGTAAACATGTTACATGCTCCTTATCTCACCTCTCAGAGTCCACTTAGGTCAAAAAATCTGCTTTTTTTAAGACTTGTTGCACCAATAACCGACCTCTGGGTTTAAATTCTTGGAACCTAAATAAGAAACCGAACATTGCATCGTTTCCAAGGTGACGCTTTCTTGTTTTCTAATATAACCAATATGAACTTTCAACTTTATAGGGCCGACCGATATGGAATCTTTGGAGCGATACCGATATTAGAGAGAGAAAAAAATCCAATACGATATATCAGCCGATATCTTTTTTTTTTTTTTTTTTTTAAAGACTGTAAGTGATAATTAGACTAACAGACCTCAACAGGTGAACTTCAGGACCACCTACAGTGCGTACCTGGAATCTTTTCAACTTTCCAAAAAGTGTAAGAAAATCTAAATTAAAAAAAGTAAAGGTTTTCAAATAGGTTACCCTGGTCTGGCGTTTCGGCCGGGCCCCCGTTGACCCCGTAGTGGAGCTGAGGGTTTGCCTGTAGACGGAGGTCCATGCTGCGGGCAGAGGTCATTATGACTTCTCATGGGGACTCAGGTGATCCTGGGGCGGCGCAAGAACTAAACGAGAATCACATCTGGACCCGTGTGGCACTCGGGGGTCATCTAATCGTCTGTTCAGGGTGAAAACACAGAGGAGGCAGAGAAGTTCAACAAACGGTTATTATAAAATTAACATTTACGGATGTGTTGGCAGCACTTAAGCACCATCTTTAGCACTCACACATTCTGATGAAGATGATAATGATGAAGATGATAGACTTCAGTAGAGCAGAGAAATAAATCCTTCACGAGGTTTGAAGCGAAAAGCAGAAAAAAACTGAGCAGACAAAGAAACTGTGTTTTGAACGGTAGAAGCAGAAGAGACTTGTGGTCATAAATGAATCCCTAACTGTTTTCATTGTTTGATTTGATCGTTTTGGGTTAGCGACAAAAGAAAACAGAAAAGATTTCTGATGTCGATCCAGTAAGAATCTCATCTTTGTGTTCTTTATGTCATGAAAAACAACTTGTGGTTCTTTGACCCACTTTTAATGTTATTGGTCTTCAGTGACGTCATTAAACACAATAAAACACCAGGAAATATAGAAATACGTTTTAAGATGTAAAAATAAAATAGAATAGAGATGATTAAATAACCAATAAGTACCAAGATAAACACTATTCACAGATATAAATACACACAAAGTGCTGTGTTAAATAGTGTAGATATTGCACTCAACAAACTCTAAGTAAGTTGTTTAATTAGTATCCATTTGTAAAACTATTTAAACGACATTTAGTTCTGCAAAGCTAAGACTTGTTTTTATGTTGACATCATTTTTTTAGACTTTTTTTTGAAGTTTTTTTTTCCTGAATTTGCAATTAGAGTTGTTCCCCCATGTAGAGGTCTGTGTTAGTTATGTATTCGTTTAAGCTTAGAGCATCTTAACCTCCTCATAAGCATCTAAATCATCTTTACACCTGGACAGAAAAACGTGTAAAATATAAAAGAGCTTACCCAGCAGCTGCGCACATCAATCACGGTGAACGAAAAATCATCTCAGGGTTTCTTTTTCCTGCAAGGTCGTAGAAATAAATAAAAGTAGAACTGACTTATAAAAACTGTAAATGTAAAAAATCCGTTTCTCGTGCGCTCCTGGACAGCTCCGCGTGCGTAATGACACCACGGCGGCGCATCACGCGCCAGTTAAAGCCACGAAGCTCCGCCCACATCATACAGGAGGGTGTGTGTGTGTGTGTGTGTGTGTGTGTGTGTGTGAGTGTGTGTGTGTTGTCGTCAAGGTGTGTAGAGATATGACTGAAGTGACGTAGAACAAAGTTATCCCACTCACACCCACCTCAGTTTCACTAGGATGAGTTCAGGAACAATGGGACAATTAAGGTTTGACCTGTTTTGCCATCTGACTGGAAAAACATCTTCTCTGAACTTGTCTTGTGTCATTCATTTTAGATGTGCAACTTAAACATCCGAAACTTCAAATCACAGAGTTACTTTTCCCGAAAAGTATTTGTGTTTTTTATTTTATTTTTTATTATTATCTTTTTTTTTTTTTTGCTGTAGCACTTTGAGAGTTTTTTTTGCAAAAATGTAAAGTGCGTTACAAATTAAATGTATTATTATTATTATTATTATTATTATTATATATTATTATTATTATTATTCTTTTACTGAAAATAAAATAATTAAACATCAAGGAATTTACTTTAAAACTTGTCATAAAAAATAGATTTATTTTTTTTATTGAAGATTTGTTTGTCGCTGGCGCCCCTGCTGGTTGCAGCCTGGTACATCACTCCTTCATACTTCAGGTGAAAACTAGAGGATGTTGATTCTGGATCCAGTAAGGGATTATATTCCAGGTCACTCTGAGGTCAAAAAGCTCCAGCAACACCTGTAGTTTTAAGATCAACTTTATTAACAAATTAGACCGACGCGTTTCAGCGTGTGGCCTCGGGGACGACCCTGATGAAGGCCTGGTGCAGGTAATGCTGGAGCTCTTTGACCTCTTCAAGCCTCTCACTCTTCATGCACCTTGGTAGTCGGGGAAGTTGTGCCAGAAAATCCCACCCTGCTTCATCCAAATGTCATTACTGCACAAGCATTTCTTATCCAACAGACCGGTACACATTGAATTTAGCCATCAAAATTACAGCAAGAAAGAAATATCAACCATTAGAATCTAAATAAACCTCTTAAATTCATCAAAATAAGCGTTGGATTTAGATTAATAGAAACATTTCTTAGAGGAATAAATCGTACTGAATTATGATTACAATATGTAATAAAATACCCACTTACACACATTTATCTGATTTTATTTTCTCTATTTCTTTAGAAAAATAAATATCGCAGATAGAAAAGAGAAAATAAATATCGCAGATAGAAAAGATATCGAAATGTAATTTTTTCTTATTTATACTTAGACCTACTTCGTGCTTATACATTTCATGAATGGCTTTCACTTGAAACTATGTATTTGCAGAGTGATCTATGTACACTAACTTAATCATAAGGATTTGAATATACCTTCCACTTCTTCTAAATAACTTTTAAAAACACATTTTATTGTAAGGCCTTTTTATAATCCTTGGTTTTCATCCAGGATGTTTTATTTGTTTTACTGTTAACTTTAGCCGATCTTTGTCTCGGTTGTTTTCCCTTTTTCTCTGTTAATTGGATGATTGCTGCACTGTTGTTTTATTTTTCATGTTATAAATAAACTTCATTATTATTATATAATAGTTATTGTTATTAATACTATTACTATTATTATCATTATTATTATTATTATTACTATTACTATTACTATTATTATTACTACTATTAATATTATTACTATTACTATTATCATCATTATTATTATTATTATTATTACTATTACTATTATTATTATTATTATTATTATTATTATTACTATTACTATTACTATTACTATTTATTTCATTATTGTTATTATTATTACTATTATATTATTATTATATTACTATTATTATTATTATTATTATTATTATTATTATTATTACTATTACTATTACTATTATTATTATTATCATTATTATTATTATTATTATTACTATTACTATTATTATCATTATTGTTATTATTATTACTATTATTATTATTATTATTATTATTATTATTATTATATACCTACAACAGCTGAGAATCAAAACAAGGGACGATCATTCAGTAGTTTCCCAGTTGTCCCTGAACGCACCTCTCCCGTCAGTTGGAGTAACCTCCGGTCTGCGTCAACAACCGCTCCGGTGTGACGTTTGTTTGTGTGTTTGACGGGTCGACTCAGTACGTTACCGGGAGGAATAACCCACAGCGGTCCGGTGAGTCCACAGCTTCAGTTTAATTTACAAAAATGTGAATGTTTAATTATTGTTGAGCAAGTTATGTGAATTAGCTAGCTTGCTAACCTAGCTTCACGCAAACGCAGCATTAAGTGTAATGCTTCCATTATCGGACACTGAACCGTCTGTCGCACTGTTTGTCTTTCCTCCAAACTAATCAACACACACGCTGACTGTCAATGCTTAAACATCTTATGCTTTACTTTAAAATTCATCTCCATTCATCCCCTTAAATCTTGTATTTTATGGTGAATTGTCAGATCACGGCGGAGGTTTGTACGTTGGCCGATAATGGAAGGGGTTTCCCGTCATCATTAATCCTCCTGCGGGAGAAAAACGCACAGATGTTGTTTTCATGCAGGAGAGCCTCCGTGCAATTGTTAAAAAATGCTATTTACTTAACTACTGATTATAATTTTATTTAAAATGCTATTCATATTATTGCTGTTGTAATGCTAACAGAGGTGCTAACATATATCGCCTCTGAATGAAAGCTGATGCTAACAGCTAATCGTTAAAGCAGAGAGGAGCATCAGTGACAGAGCAGTCATGCTCTTTCATGTGTGTAGTGTCACATAGCACCGTTAGCTTCTAAAAACACTAGCCTAGCATGTGATGGTCATTACACATAACATGCTACCTGCAGGCTAACTCAGTGTAGCTGCTGCCTGGCCTGACACAGGTGTGTTCCTGGCCTGACACAGGTGTGTTCCTGGCCTGAACAGGTGTGTTCCTGGCCTGACACAGGTGTGTTCCTGGCCTGTCTGTTATTTTTTTTGTTCACGTCAGGTGAGCATAGAGGAATCATGTCAGGGTTTAAACTTCAGCCTGTTAGCATGCAGATAGCATCACATTTGAGCTGCAGCATCATGTGAGTGAACACAGAGGCTGCTGTCACTAAACTGAGTTAGCATTTGTTGCATTCTCTGCAGTTTTGGTGGAAGGTCCAAAGTTTCACCAAATAAACAACTGTTCACACTCAAACTTGGACTCAGTTTCTCACTCATCTCTTAGATTGATACCTGGAGATCCCTTTAACACAATCATTGTGTTGTGCAGGAATCTACAGTCTGTGATAGTTCAAGTTATTTTATGAGTCAAATGCAACAACAGAGCAGAGCAGTCACAGCTGGCAATCACATGTTTGTGTTCCAAGCTCTCTTAACAATGTAAAAAAAAAAAATAATAATATTAATAATAATAATAATATATATATATATAAATAAATAATAAATAATAAATATAAAATAATTAATAATATTATAATACATATATAATATAATAATAATAATAAAATAATAAATAATAATAATAATATTAATAATTATAAATAATATAATATATATATAATAATTATATATATAATAAATAGGTATGCACTATTGAGCCGATACTGATAATTACCTGCTCTAATGCAGATAAGATTATGGATATATGTTTACATTTAAAAATAAGTTAATAAAATGTAGTTTATGCACATCTGGGGGTCAGAAAGGTTCATTATGTAATCGTTCTCTAAACTAACTGACATCACTATTGTCATTCTAAAAACAAAAGACAGATATTGGTTTCATTGTTATTTTACTTTAATTGTAATAAGTTAATGTTCCTCTCTGCAGATAACTTCAACATGAAGTATAAGCATGTAGTTGACGAGCTCCTGTGTCGAACAACATGGTTTTATACTTTACTTTTCATGAGGTTTTACGTTGGATCGTTTCCAGAGAGAGGAGGGGAAAGTGAGCTGCTAGTGACTTAGGGCTGGGCAGTATATCGAGTTTTTAAGATATATTGATATATTTTCAAACAAGATATAGGGTAAGCACATCGTTAATATGGATATAGTTTAAGTTGCATTAAAATAACGTTACAGAGGTGCAGGTCTCCTTCTTCTCATCTCACTGATGATGACTGACTGTCTGCTCCTCCTCTCTCTCTCTTTTATTGGATTTAAGGAACATTTTAACTTCATAATATTACTTTTTAAATAGATTTTAAGGTTTTCACTGTTAATAAAATACATATCGATATATATCGAGTATCTCCATTCAGCTGATCAATATCAAGATGAGTTTTGGTCCATATCGCCCAGCCCTAAGTGATGCTCATATTTTTGATTTCTTTCCAACGTTTTGCTTTAGCCTTTTGGGTTGTCTCTGGCCTCTTGAAAACTTTCTGCAGTTTTCAAAAAGCCTGTCGAGTCGGCGCTGATGCTGCCTCGTATTACTCTAACACGTCTCAGATAAGTGGAGGCAGCTGATCATCCCTGTGAGCTGCATAACGTTTGATTAACGATGAGTTTTTTTCTTTCTGAAGAGTCTGCAGAGTGTTTCAGTCCAGCTTCAGTGTTTCCAGATCGCGTTAGGTTCCAGTTGAAACTCTGTTAACAGACGGGCGAGCCTCTAACAGGCGGCTGAAATAACTGTATCCATTACCGCATCCTTGGGGTGTCGGGTTACTACGGGGACCTCCAGAACTGGTCTCCATGGAGACAGGGAGAGGAGGGGGAGAGAGAGAGAGGGGAGGGATTGGCTGGTTGGTTGTGTGTCCTAACCACTGGGCTCCCGTCGCCCTTTTCAAGATGTTATTAACGATGAATCTCTGATCCAGAATAATAAACAAAATGAAATGTTTATTGTGATAAACATGCAACAAGTTATAGATCGTTTACAGAGCGTGTTGACGTGTGATTGACAGCTCATCTATAATCACTATTAACTGGTAGAAACTCTTCTTTTGAAACTTTGACATAATGATACTGATTTACACACACACACACACACACACACACACACACACACACACACACACTTAGTTCTTAAACTGTGTCTTGAAATAACCTTTGCAGTAGTGACGTAAAGTTTTCTCATGCAACAAGTTATAGATCGTTTACAGAGCGTGTTGACGTGTGATTGACAGCTCATCTATAATCACTATTAACTGGTAGAAACTCTTCTTTTGAAACTTTGACATAATGATACTGATTTACACACACACACACACACACACACACACACACACACACACACACACACACTTAGTTCTTAAACTGTGTCTTGAAATAACCTTTGCAGTAGTGACGTAAAGTTTTCTGTGAGTCACACTCCTTCTGTTTGTCAAGGTGCTGAATTCAGCTTTTGTATATGCTCACTTTGAGGGGAACACACCCACTTAACACACACACACACACACACACACACACACACACACACACACCAGGCTGAGCAGGTGGGACCGGTGTGCTGTTAAAACACCTGACGGAGGCACAAAACAAAAGAGAAAAGAGGAGGTTAACACCACCGAGGAAGAAAAAGTCCCAAACCCAGAAGGTAATACAAAAAGTCTGTGGTGTGAGGATGAACTCCATGCTTTGTTCTGGTGTGGACCAAAAGAAGAGGAGTGGTCAGACACTCCTGTGGACTTCCTGTTTGTGTCCGTTGGAGTTTAACCCAGAAAGTAAAGTCCACACCGCCTTATTCAAATACAGTTTATGGTTTTATAAACAGGATATTAGACGAAGAAGGAACGGGGGAAATAAAGCCAGAAATCAACTACAATCACTTCTATCTGAACCACTTCTCTGTCCCGCTTCATCACTGCCACACCTCATACCTGCTCTCATATCCTGTCTGTGTGTCTGTCAGATCAAGGTCTGTTCTTACCTGGTTCACCTGTAGACCTGGTTCACCTGTAGACCTCCTGCTTCCTCAACGACCTCTCTGACAGTCTGTGAAGCTCAAACCAATCCTGCCTGCATCTCCATCCACTCCTGCACTATGGTAAATCTTTAATTCAATTAGTACTATAATAAAGAAATGGTAGCA